ATGACCATTTTGGAGGTATTGATTCATGAAATCGGCATACTGCCGATTTAGAATCGGATTTCTGACTTATCGCGATTCCAGGGATTAAGCGCACCTATTGGAAGTTAGTGTTCTCAGTCGGGTTCGAGGTGCCGGAAGGGCAACGAAACTACAAATCTTCCGGATTTTTTTCTGGATAAAGTCTTCTGGTAAATTGATTCGAATTTCTCACCGGGAGATATGTGACTGAGGGTATATTTTCTCAAAAATTGCATAATGCAAGCGTAGAATGCAAAGAAATGAAATTGGAATCGATTGGAGGGTGTGAAATTGATGTAGGCTGTATATAGGGCGTTTCAAAAGCTGGGTGCTTGCCCTTGACTTCCAGGAATCCGACCTGACTTTTGGAATTTGGTAGTTCCTGCTCCCAACAACATGTCTACTGGAGCAGGAATAGAAAATAGCTCGTCGCCTAGTTTCAAGTCGGATTTAAGCCTGAACGAAAGAAATTGTTCGATAAAATGGTGAAACCCGACTCCCATCAACTAAATGTATGTTGAGTCTGTGGAGAAGAATTTCGTAGCTTTCTGGCAAAAACGCATGGAAAAAGAATTGAAATTCAATGACATAAACAACATCATGATAGATTAAAACAACATTTCTTTAGACGCGGGCATGAAAGTAGCAAATACTCTATTGCACTACAGGCTATCATTCCGCTGGATTTTGCTTTATGAATATTTGGTTTTAGTTCATTAATTAACATTCTAAAACAACCCTTTTTTAGATCTTGTTTGCATCTCCCTCTTTTCCTATTAGGTTAATCAAAATTAAATATTATTTTTCATCATAAATTCATATTCCTATACCTCCAACCGCTGGCGCAAATAGCTAACGACAACGCTGATGACGTCGGCAACGGTGCAAGACCATATTACCTTGATTCCAAAAATAGAGGCCGATGAGCAGTCCTATAGTAGAAGTAGTGTGCAATATCCTTGCCAGATATCTAATAATTTTAGACCGAGAAGGCAATTCACGATCTGAAAAAAACAACAATTCAGCAGGACAGGATGGAATATACTTACTATCAACACTGAATAGCCTATTCCTATGTCCTGAGACTTCGGAAATACCAGGAAAATGGAATACCTATTAGCCTCGAAGTTCTACTCTTCCAAAAAAGAGATACTTATCAACAAAACATTTCTCTCTGGCAGGTAATGGATGTTTTTATTAAAATGGATTTAACTCTGACAGTTTTGGTAAAAAAATATATATAAGTATCTGTTTTTGACACGAGGAACAATGTGTTAGAAAGAGGACTTTCTCATTTCCCTCACCGATAGAAAGTGCTTTTCTAGCACACTGGTTTAAGGGCCAAAACGAATTTCAATTTTGTTGTTGAAAATTGTTGAAGAACCTATCAAACCTTATATCAATGAAATCATAAAAAGCAGAGCTATACAATATATTATTAATATTAAACAAAATCAATGCCAAATTGAGAAAAAAAAAACAAAAACTGAGAACGTCACGGGATTCTGTTTTAAAAGTGTTGTCAGAGAGTTACAGAAATCCATCATTTTCATAAACAAAAAAGTTATGAAGCTTTCACACTATCACTATGGCTCTAAATCGAGAAACGCCCTTTAGCAAGGTAGGTATCCAATTACGATTTGCAGATTTCATGAAATTTAAGCTTCGCTTATATCTCGCTCAGAAATCGACGTTTCCTATTAAAAGTGTCTCAATTGCGACATCCTGGGTCCTTATTCTTGGAACAGGGGAGCAGCGTTCTTAGGAGAACGGGTGCTCCATCTTTCTCAATCATCTGCAACTGATAATACATATAAGTAACAAAGACAGACCACTCGTTCTCCTGGGAACACTGCACCCTTGTTTCAAGAATAAGGACCCTATATATATTACAAAAGAAGGGGTAACTCGTAGACCCTGAGATAGGGCCTGTTTAGTGGAGTCATTTTTTTTTGTCTGGCATTTTGAGGGATGAATGTGACTAGTTAGCTGATGAGAATATAAGGGGTTTTAATGCCTGCCTCCTGTTCGAAATGTCCACAGAATGTTTCGCCGGAAAACTCGATTTCGAACTGTGATTACCGTCTGGCGATTTTTCAGCGTTATTTTCACAACAAAACCTTTCATTCTCTCGATTGCCAGACAAAAAAAAATGACTCCACTAAACAGCCCCTATCTCAGTCTATCAAGGTGTTTTTTGGAAGAGAGTTTTGTTTACTCTGTAACTTGGTGTTCGGGTCTCCAGATGTCACCGACATGAAAGTTGACGACTATGCTGACGACTTACGGAAATGGTTGGTAACATATTATTTGAAGCAAAAACATAGTTCGCAAATGACCAAATCAAATCCAGATATATAATCCTAAGGCAAACTCTACAGGTTTCCAGATAAATGACCGAGTTTTGCTTTATAATCCTCAAAGGAATAAAGTTCTACAGGGGAGAGAACAGGTGTTCCATCTTTCTCAATCATCTCTATCTGATAATATAAGTAACAAAGACGGACCACTTGTTCTGCTGGGAACACGGCTCTCTTGTTTCAAGAATAAGGACTCTGTATATATTACATAAGGAGGGGTAACTCACGATATTTTTTGGGAGAGAGCTTCGTTTACTCTGTAACTTGGTATTCGGGTCTCCAGATGTCACCGACATGGAAGTCGACTACTATGCTGACGACTTGCGGAAATGGTTGGTAACATATTTAAAATAAAAACACAGCTCGCAAATGACCAAATCAAATTCAGATATATAATCCTAAGCGAAACTCTACAGGTTTTCAGATAAATGACCGAGTTTGGCTTTATAATCCTCAAAGGAAGAGAGATCTAAAAATCTAAAATCAGTATGGGAAGACTCATACGCGATTATAAAGAGATTCAACGACGTGTTGTATCGAATTCAATGCAGCCTTAAAGGTAAGATATGAAGGTGGTGCATCTAAACAGGTTAAAGGTTTATTACGAGAATGAATGGTCAAATTCGGACGATCTGGTTCGTCCAGAAGGCAGTGTTACGAAATCATATTGATGGCAAGCAGCCTGCACGATTGGTGAAAAACCGAGGGGAGTGCGTGTATTCCGGAATTTTATTGTGTCTTTAAATACATCAAACATTTTACGTGATTCTATGGACTTCCCGATTGAATCTTCTTATATATAAAGTACGTAGTTTGTAAGTTAGTTGGTCAGTGTGAATAGGAAAATAATTGTTGTATGAACGAGTGGAAGTGATCAATGAATTTTGGAAAGTCCAATAGGTTCAATAAAATTTGTATTGTTAGTAAAGTGAGTTTTTAGTGGATTCGCGGAGTTGGTGACAATATCATTTTTCTATAGGCTTCTGCCAAAGACAATACTACTTCTGCACAACGATAAAGAAAATCAGATTTCTTTATCACAAATTGGTTTTAACTGCAGCTTCTTTGGTTTCTCCATTTTAGCTATACTGTTTGAATTCTCCAATGTAGGTATACCTATAATGTGTTTGCGTGAAGTCAAAATCAATCTTAAGGCACTTGCGGGAAAGTTGAGGAAGACTTATCAGCCTTGAATGTTGTTTCAGAGCTTGTGTCTTAAATTATTTTAATAAAGAAAATTAACAGAGCAATGTAGATCAACTTACTTACTTACTGGTTTTGTTGAGCTTTCATTTTCTGAGATGGTTATTTAGGAAGACTATCGATCCGTAACTCTGTGGATTTCTTGAATTAATAAATACATAAATAAATGAATAATCCAAAGAATGTCCATTAGTGGTTCGCGAATAATCTTCGGTGAATGAGAGGCGCTTGTTTGCGAGACTGCGTTATTATGAGGTTAGTTGGGTTAGTTAGCTTTGCTTCAAAATGTGCTCCTGAGCTTCTGGAATTCACATAATTTTGAGCCCAGTTTTTATCAATTTGGAAATAAAATTGTAGCCAATCCAATTACCTATAACTCAAAGTGTAACGCACAATACCTAGATAAATATTTCAATTTACCTAAGATATCTACTTTTAATTTTTGAACTCATATTTTTGTTTTGAACTTAAAATTGTTGGCTATCTTAAGTCGATAAATACGATGAAAACAAATTATATTAGATATTTGTGTTTTCTTGAAAAAAAATTAATAATAATAGGTAATTAAATATGCACAACGAGCTTTTGGTCTCCGTAATATGAAGAAATTGAATAAGGATATTTATGTATGAAGGAAGTAGAGTTGTCGAAAGTACCTACCTAAATATCTTGTTGCATACAAACTTAGGTATAGTATATTATCCTGAATTAAATACCTACAGTATTTTTGTTAAATTTTAGATTGTTGGTATGACAATAAGAAACATGAGGAAAATTCTGAAGTTCAAACCGAGGAACCTTGTTTGAACTGCACTTGCAGCAGAAGTGTCTTATTATGCTATCTAAGAGTTTGTCCCAAACTACCAAATCCACCACCACCAGGATGTATTTTACTCAAAAAATATATGACTTGTTGTCCTGAATTATTGTGTCATGGTAAGTTGAATTTTATAACTTTTCTAACATAACACATAATTCATTGGTTAATCATATAAGCTTTAAGTAAATTCTATGGTTCGTGGATAATTATTAGGACAAATTAAATGCAGGATTTCTCACCAACTCAATGTTTCGCATCTGATTCAGTGATCTGATTAGGTGGTTCATCTGGAGTGAAAGAGAAAAAACACATCAAAGACAAGAAACAATATTCTTCAGAATAAAATCTATAAAACTTCGAGCTGTAAAAAACCTTTAATAAACATGTGGTAGATACCTACAAACTAATTTTTTGTATAAAAATTATCAAAAAAAAAAGATTAAATGTCAAAAAGATCAAAAGTCTGAATGAAACCAAATTAAAGATAAAATGACACAATAACAATAAAATTCTAGTTATTCTAACACACCTACTTTCAACTACTGACTTGTTAATTATCAAACCTTCAATTAATGTTATTGACTAATGAACGTTGTGACTTAGCGGTTGGTCCCGTTTGTCTATTTAATAGTACATAAGGTATTGTTTTTTCAAGCTTTGTATTTAACTTGTTCTCATTAATGACGAAACCAACTAGATAATTAAGAAATTGTGTAGCTACTTAGATGTTCATAAATATTAAAAATATCTTATCAAATAAAAAATAATTTTCTTACAAAATTTTCCGTGCAGATTTTAACATCGATGGAAATAGCTTAGAGGCTCGAGCAGATCTGGGAGCAGTTCTAGACATCCCATCAGATGCAGATGATCCATCTGCCTATGCTAATGGTAAGAATATTGTAACTTTAATGAGCAAAAGGTAAACGATTTATGTTCTTTGATAGCTTTCTTTTAAATTTTGTCAAGTTAGAAATATTATCTAGACGTAAAGCTCTATAAATAAATTAGGTACACAAACTGCAATTATATTAGGTTTCACACAGGCATGAGAATCATTGATAAAGAGTTTCTGATTCCGGTGTTAACATTAGTAATAGCCATCTACTCAATGTTAATTTCATATACAGTTATACGTTAACTCGTGTTCTTCAATAATTGCTGAACTATTTCAGTGTAAGTTGAAGATACACTATTGTGAGATTATGTAGTTCTATGTGGTTGATATGCATGAGTTTGTAGGGTTTTTGGTACCCAGGCCAACAGTGCCTTATTGGAAACAAATTTAACAGGCATATGTCAAAGTTGTTTTTACGTTAATATGTTGTCTGATGAAATAGTCTTCGAATAACTTCGTACAAATACAGCAAATAACTGAAGATATTACGTTGTACCTAGATGTACCTACATATCGCCCAATATGAATGAATTAAGTCTATTTTCATTTAATTTTCAGCTTGTATTTCTAATGGAAGCATCTATGGTCCCGGATCAGCAATGCATAGTTCGTCGTTGTGTGAGTATTGCTATTGTCTTGCAGGAAAGCAAGTATGTGTCAAACCCAAATGTCTTTTGCCTAGTGATGGGTGCAGTCCAGTGTTTGAAAAGAACTCCTGCTGCCCAATAAGGTAAGGTATTATTGAAAAAAAATAATAAAAATTAAAACTTTTTGATACCTGTGCGCAGTGGTGGCTCGTCGGTTTTTCTTACGGCTACATTCACAAAGAAAATACTATGACCCTACAGGAAATACATCGAATTTCAGAACCATTTGAGTGAAACAATAGAATAGCAGATAGCTTTGACGTTGATAAAGCAACAACCGACAACAGGGTATTTTATCGGAGACATTTAAAAAATACCGTCTTCGAGGATCTTTAACTGAATGAACAGTTCGTTAGTGAATTATGAGTTTCTTGAAATATGATAGGAGCCGCCACTGCCTGCGTGTTATTATAAATATTGTAATAATAAGTTATTGTTCTAGATATAATTGTACAAAACAAGAAGCCTTCACTGAAGAAACAATCATCGCAACTATGCACATGAACAGTGGGTTGCAACAGCAAGGTAACTCTTAAAGAACTACTTATCAAAGCATTATAAATAGATCCGAGCCTATCGTTTACGTAGATACTAATTTCAAAAAAAAATAAGTTTCACTTCGGATGAGAAATTTTCTTGTGAAGCGATGAGTTTTGACTAACACTTTTTTTAACTGTGAACTGTCTAAAAAATGCTACTTTTTATCTATCATTTTGAAATTCACCTAACTTACAAGGGGGCATTTGCCCCCCCAAGACCCTCAAATTTTATGAATAATTCTTCAAAATTAAAATAAATAGTCCCAAAAATAGCGTAAAGAAACCTAAAAAAGAGGCGTGGCACTTTGTTTCCTGCAGTAGTCGCGGTGGGGCCGCAAGAAACACGTCCTGCAAATTTGCCCCCCCAAGACAAAATCCTAGCTACGCCACTGATCTTGACAATGTTACGTTGCATATATAAGGTCTGTTTCCACAAAAATCACAAACCAGTCAGAGCCTTTTTGATTGGTCCAAATCGCCGACAACCAGTTTCCTGACTATTTTCAACCAATGACTGGTTTGTGATTTCTGTGAAAACAGACCTATAGTGTAAGAAAATTAGTCGGAAAAACGACGAATAGGAGGAAACTGAACTCCCAGTAGGAACCCAAATATAGATCCGAAGAGTTCATCCTCTTTCGCTCAAAAAACCACCCCAAACGTGGCCTCACAACAATTTTCGGCGTTTTACTCGTGAAACGTAGCTCAAAAAGAGAAAATGTTATAGGACTCTTTATATTCTCCATAAAATTGTCATTTAATATTTTTGCGTATCTCCCACCCAACGCTCATTACTGACCTCGGAAAATAATCATAGTTATCAGCGCAAACACAAGCACAGTGCCGTCTTTTGGAAACAAAATAATTAGGAGAAAGTGCTAGAGGTCATATGACAATTCTATATACCTGTGCATTCTGTACGGGAGGCTCAAATTCGAGCCTGATCATTGGGATTCCGGGAACTGTAAGAGATACGGACTCGGTTAAATTATGGTAAAAATGCGCATTTTGAAGCTTAACAAACTACAAATTTGAAAAATTAGCAATACTTCCGGAAATATTCAAAAAATTCTGAAAATTGCAATTCTGGTTTTAATTTTTTCCTGGCATTATTTTAAGAGATCGAGAATAATCAAGATAACTTTCTTGGGTGGACTTTATCGTGGTGATATTATTTTGGAAAGTCGACGTTTCGGTTGTCCACTGCCATCATCAACCTGATTTTTTCTAATACGGACCTGGATTTTTTTTAAATAATTTGTTTGGTTTTGAAATTCTAAAATACGTCATAAGACGTTTAGACCGAAAATATTATTCCTCAGGCACTACTATACTATAATTTTCAAATACGATGCCGAGTTTCAATCCGCATGCCAATTTTTAGTTAGAAGACGTGACATAATCTAATTTCTCAATTTCTGGCAAAGTTTTTCTAAATTTAAAATCGGATTTTCAATAACTTTAGCTGGGAGGGAGTAAAATTTTCTTATTAAGTTTTGTCTCAAGACAGTATGGCGTATTTTTATTATAGTCTATCTATTACTAAATCCGGACTGCGTGCAGGCCAACGAGCTACCCCTCATACCACCCATCCATTGATTAGGAAACAATTATTGGTTCAATAGCCTGGTAATATTTTGAGTATTATGTGGTGGGTGGTGGAGCTACATCTTGTTTCCTCTTTAACTGTTGCATGACTCGTAATGGTTCAATCTATAAGAATCCATTACATTCCCGTTAATTAATTCAATATAGAGACGTTATCGATGAAGAAAGTTCCGATAATTTTATTATGCAGCATCACTATCCACATATCAAAGATTCTTTACATTGTTTACTTTGTCTTGGAATTTAAAGTGAGGTAAAATACCACGGAATTATTAACATTAAGTACTTTCTTTTACACTACTCCTATTCGAAGAGAATTCGAACTGCTCGAATAAAGGCTTTGCTCGTCCTAATACTTCAAAATACCTGTTGACGAACTCGTCGCGCTTTGATTCTTCAGCTGTAAGATCAGAAATGGCAACAGTATTATTATTTTACTATTATATGTTCTAAAGTTTAAGAGCCCGCTTATAATCCTTCCTAGCAGTTTTTTTTTATGTGAAGCTGAAAACGATGTTCCAGTTAAGATTGAAATACAATCACACAATAACATAATGAGACCAGGTGGAGGCACGATGTTGAGGCCTAAACTAATGTGATTTCAGATTTAATTGATGGTAATCAAGATATTTTCGCTCTAGGAGGAGAGGCAACTCCCTATGCTGCACATGCCATTGAATATTGATACTGTGTTACAAATAAATTAACTTATTTTGTAAGTTAGAGCAAGAGAACCAACCTTTGGGGTCGTGGAATTCAAAAATAAATAATGAAACGTGTAGCCCCTATATTTGCAAATGAAACCACTCAAATTCCAACAAATAATAATTTTATTTGGTATTTGTTAAAAATGTGAGTAACAAATAACAATGTTACTTTTTAAAATTTGAAAACTATAACAGCTTGGTTTTTCCGGTGAATCCGATACGGTATGTATCTTTTCCAATCCGGAGCTCTCCAGGTTGTTTCCTAAATTCAGGAACGAGAATAGATTGCTAATGTGACGTCACTCCAGTTGATCCAGACTCCAAATGATGTTCTTGAGGAATAGGTATCCAGAAAAGAATTTACAGTATCAGGTTCACCAAATTTTGGAATATTAAATTCCTGAATCCTGTTAAAAAGCGAGTATCTCGCAAAAAAAAAAAAATGAAATTAGTTTATCATAAAACTATTGTTGTGCAGACAATCCATTTCAACAGTACCAGGTATGAGCGACTATTGCAAATTGGAGAAATAATTTTATAGAAAAACAATTAAATAATTTAAAAAAATTATTAAAATAAAGTAGTAATAAAATAGGTAAGTACAGCAAGATTAAAGATAAAAGCTCGATAACATTGAGCAGAATGCTGCTTCTCGTGCAGTCGCGCTGAACAGGCAAAAATAAAAAAATAAAGTAGGAAAAATTGGACAGGATAAAAAAATAATTTTCTAGATTTTCTCCAAATTAATTTTTAAAAAAAATTAAGTTAAGGTTCCTACTATGGATACTACAAGATAAAGCTGAGGGTGAAATAAATTAAATCCAAAGAACTGTCAAAATTCTTGAGATGTTCTAATTAAAACTTTTTAAATGAATTTTAACCTATCCGGATTTCTATCTTAAAATTTCACCCTTTCAGCACTCTCTTTATTCGAGAAGATAATGAGGGAGTCAAACAATAATTGTCCAGATAGGTTTCTGCCTGGATTCAGTAAAGAGTTAATAGGGATGGACACACACATTTGGTTTACACCGACTCTATTTAGAGCAAATGGTCCAATAATCCCACACTAACAATTGATTCCGAAAACCAAAGCAGCAGTACCTATTTATTTGCCAAAACTCTGAATTGAATTTCCCCAGAAAAATGTGGTACCAAATAAAATGGAGGTTCACAATAGTTAAAAAATAAAAAAAAATATGATATTAATATTTCAAAGGTAAATAAGTTTCGTGTTTTTTTTTTACTTACCTGCGTAGTAACCATTGAACACACACAAAAGACCGTCTCCACTTTATCAATGAAACACCACGCTGATTAAATGGGAATAGATAAAAACACACTAGAATTATTTTAATTGTTTACAAATTATAATGATTTAAATTTCAAGTTATGTTAGAAACATAAACACAAAACCACTAATTAGTTAGGTCATCAAGTTGAAAATAATCATTTCAGAATCAGAAGTTAGGGAAAGACAGAAATAAATTTACTTGCTGAAAGCAGGATAAACATAATTTCTTCAAATAAAAATATCAATGACTGTCAATGAGGAATAATTAAATAAATAGTTAAAGAAACCTATCACAATTTTGAAATAACTTTATTAGGTACTAGATGGCGGTACGTTAGTACTTATCTTAATAACAGATATTTGCATTTCTATGCTCACTTTATTTATAGATAGATGGAAATACTGATATTATATTGAATTAATTAAATTTAGTGAATACTTTTCAAATTTCTTTAGTAATGAATAATTATTATTTTGCTGATTCTGAAATGGCGAAAATACAACTTTATAGTGAAAATGAGAAGAAATGGAACATGTTACGAAAATGATAAATTTATCGTAACACACCTTTAGTTGGCTATAAAAAGAAAAAAAAAAAAATATTTCCTTTCAATGATGTTTCATTGTGTATCGAAGCGAACAAGGCACTTCAGTGTGACTCGTAGATAAAATTATGGTACTGAAAATGTTAACAATATGAAAACTGTTGCTCATTTGGTTTTACATTTATTGAGAGAGGATGATTTATGAAAAAAAAATTCAAAGTATGTATTAGAAATAAAAAAATTAAAAAGAAAAGATAATTTTATGGGCGCCAGTACATTATCCAAGGTACAGAAAAACTATGAAAAAAAAAGAAACAGCAAAAATAACTTGGTGGTTCTCGGAATAGAAATCCAGAGCAGCATCTCCAAACACTTCATAAGCAGAGAAAGGAACTTCACATCTAAAACTTTTTTTTCGATTTTTTAAATATTTTTTTTAAACGTTGTTATTAAGTTCAGCAAGTATTGCATTGCACCGAATTATGTGTGAAGAATCTCGTATGATTACCTTACTCATGAAGTATCCAGAGAGCAACTCCAGAATGCTGAACCAAAAAACACCAAGTGGCAGGTAGACGAACACGAAAATAGGAAGAATTTAAAAAAAGTAAAAGTCTGACACAGTGATACTCAATTAACCCGTCTTGCAAAAGAATACCAAAGGGAGTGAACTATAGTGCACACCACGCTAAAGGATGCTCACAGGCACCGTACAGTTCGAGAAATGAAAATAATTAGGGTGCTCCGAAAGGTTTTACTGCTGTCGATCCCAGGGACGTAATAGGCGGAATGGAGCTCAGCTGGAACGCAGTAGCAAGCACCTAGCCAACAT